TAGATCTTATTATCCTATATAGATTAACTAATATTAATTGATGATTAACTGATAATAGATTAACTATATATTAATTGATGATTAAATATATATTTCTTCTTTGTATAAATTGGTCTATTCTTTTCCACTATTTCAGTCAAAAATTTTGAAAAAAAAAAAGGCTGTGGCTGTGGCTGTGGGCCGTGGTTGAGGTAGAGGATGACAAGAACATGTAGCAATTACACACCACCACTTTTCCATCCCAAATTGTTTTTGTTGATTAACGAAGCAAGATTGCAAGTCCGGTGTTCTTTTAGTGCGCATGTTATTGTCATTACCTCTTGATTTTCATAAGCTCGCTACTTGCATTATCTTTTATGTTAATCAATTAAATTGAAAACCAACACAAACACATGAATAAAATACTCATTATACATACTGTAACATACATGATACTCCCAATCCTCATTATATTTTATACCCATCTATTACATTATACATACATGATACATCCCTCGCTCAGGATTATATTACAAGGAGAAGTAAGCAAACTGCAAAATACCCATCTATTACATTATACATACATGATACCCTTACAAACAATAATGCTCTGATATTCAAGATGAAAATAAAACTAAAAAATAATTAAACAAAGCAAACTGCAAAATACCTCTTAATAAGAAATTCTGAAATCTGTAATGAGTTTGAAATTTGTAACTCCTTCAGCTTAGAAAGCCCTGATAAAGGTGGAAATTAAAGGTTAAATAAATTTCCATTTCAGAAAATACAATCGGATGCCCACTTCAAATTTGAATAAAAGTAATACAACAATTAGAGCAACAGACAACAACCAAGAGAATCTCTGGAGCCCGAAGTTCAATTCTCAGAAATCCAAACAAATATGTGTCACTAATTTCCTATAAATATGTACCATTTAATCCTACAGATATAACACGTCTGAAACTAGCAAAAATCAAAACCAAGTTTAAATAATACAAATACACTACAAATGAATCATAGGAAGCCGACTAAAAGACAGAACCCTTCATCTTCAAGTTTTTAAAATATGCAATCTACTAAAAAATAAAATTCTGAAACATTCAATCTTCAGTATGCGAAAATAACATTATAATCATTATTTTTTTATAATTACTCTACTCTCATATATAACAAATTTATAGCAATTGTAACTAGACCGTATCTATTTCATATTCAACCCGAATAAAATCCAGCATACGTACATAGACAAAGCAATTTTCTGCAACAACAAATCTAGAACCCTATTTCCAAGAAAATGATTCAGTAGATAACATACAAGTGTTTAAATCACAGCTGGGAGTAATTAAGGAACGAGAATTGTATAGACAAAAGAACATGCTAAAACCCTGAACCCTAATGATTATAATTAAGGTGAAACATTAAAGAGGTCTTGAACTGAATTGAATTACCAGGTCAAAGTATAGAAGAAAGTCCTGTTTAGCGGTTTTGAATGGAACTTCGTGTTCTTGTTCAGTTGCTTTGTTGTAGTGTTGTCAAATGATGACATTGAAACATAAAAAATTTAGAGATTAAATGGAAGCCACCATTTTGTTCACATTATTCGGTTTATAAACTTTTAGAACTTTATACAAATGATGACTCAAACAAAAACAGTGATCAGTAATCTCCATTATATTAGTACTTCCGGCTGTAAAGGGCTTTACATATTCTGTTTGTTTGGCATATTAACGAAAAAAACAGACGCAATGTCGAACCAGCTGACTTTATTTAATAATATGTTGCCGGATTGGTTTAGAACTAAATAAATTCCAATTTTCTCTCACTTTCTCACATTTTCTTTCTACCCAATTTTGAGATCAAAGCAGCAACCAACTCACAAGCAATTTAAAAATTCTTTACCAAACATACCCAGAATATAAATTCTTCTTGCATTTGGCAGAATCATCTTTCTCATAGAATTGAAAGGTGAAAGATAAGAAAAATAACACTGTTAGATCTTCAAGTTCATGAGCACCTACAGGCTACAGCAAACGACAAATTCCATCTTGGACATGAAGAATGGCCTTAGTCTTCCTAAGAACTCTGCACATTCTGTAATCATAAACAAAGCATATTAAATTCACAAAATAAAAGAAAGAGGATTAAAGTAATTGATTAGTACATCAATCGCAATAATATACCAAAGAAGAAAAAATTTCAGTTTATAATTCTTATTTTCTTCCACTTTCTCAAATTTTCTCTCCGTCAAAATAACTCAACCAGATTAAGAATAAATAAAATTCTCATTTTCTCACGTTTATTTCCATCCAAACAAGTCAAACAATAAAACAAGTCAAAGTGATCAATATAAAACAAACACACAAAATTAGGGGTTAGGGATTCATTACCAGCCGACGAGGATGAGTGACGGTGACCGGCGACTGTGGTACTGCCGAACTAGGAATGGGAATGACTGACGAAGTGACGAGTGACGAACTGACGAAGTGACGAACTGACGAAGTAACGATTAATCGAAGAAGACTGATGACTGATGAGAGATTGAGAGGCAGGAGAGATTTGAGTTTAGGGAGAGTCTGAGAGATGAGATGCGGCCGCGATTTGAGACTGAGAGATCAGAGATTAGATATTGAGATGAGAGTGAGACTGTGAGAGGGAGGCGTGAGCGTGATTGTGAATGGCTGAAATGAATTCGTGATAAAAAGTTGAGAAATTAGGGATTCAGTGAATAGTGACCAGCAAATACGGGTGCTCGCGGGTTCATCCGTATAACCCGTGATTTATTGGACCGGGTACGGGTACGGGTCACAAAAAAATGGGTTATATATATTAGACCTGTATCCTATATTTTTTACCCGGGTATGGGTCGACCCGCGGGTCAAGACCCATTTTGCCAGGTTTAGTCATAAGTCATAACCATTAGGGTACGTTTGGTTTAGAGAATGTTGGAATTGGGAATATTATATTAATGGAAAGTTAGATTACCTTAAAGATTACTGAGAATTTTTAGGAAAATGTGATTGGTTAGTTAGAATAAATTGGTGAGTATGTTATATTAATATGTTTGGTTGGGAGGAATAAATTGGTGGGTATGTTATTTAAACTACTAAATTGCCCTCATTTTTAAATATTGCATTCCATCGCTTGGAGTCATCGAAAGTCGCTGGAAAACACTGGGCGTCACCGGGAGATGGCCGAAAATGGGATCTGGGCGAGATCTGGCCGTTAACGGTCATGGATCTGGCCAGAATAGATTTGGCAATTTTCGGCTAGGTCTACGGCCATATCGGCGACTCTCGACGACTTCCGGCGGTGGTTGGCCATCTGCTGGCGGTGGTGGCTGGGTAGCGCTGGTGGTCTGCAATTTGTTTTAAATATAAGGGCATTATTGTTTAAAAACTTAATTAAACAAGGGTAAAATTGTATGGTAGATTAATGTAAATTGATTTTAAAATAAGGGCATTATTGTCCAAACTTTTTATTAATAAGGGGTAAAATTATAACAAAAATAAGATTACTAAGTAATCGTACAATACCTAAGAAAATGGAAGTAATCAGATTACCTCCAATATTACCAACAGTAACTACTATTGATATTGGAAGATCACCAAAATCTTATATTATTTGACAACCAAACATGGTAATCAAGTAATATAAGATGACATTACCATAGTAATCTTATATAACCCTCAACCAAAGGCACCCTTAGAGCATCTCCAATAGTGCTCTTTATTTTGAAGAGTATCTTCATTAATTTTTAAATATAAAGAACACAATTTTTATTTAAATCTAATAGACTCTTTAAATTTAATGAAGATGCTTTTTATTTTTAAGAAATAGATTTATTTTGAGAGAGAATTAATAAATAAAATGCATAGGAACTTGTAGTTTATTAATTAAAATTAGGATAGAGAGTGAAATTTGACTCTCTAAATGTGGAGAGTCAAACTCACTCTCTAATTTATATTTTAAAGATAAAGAGTCTGTTGGACTCTTGTTTTTAGACTCTTTATAATAAAGAGTTTAGGTCATATAAAGAGTCCTTTGGAGATGCTCTTAGAGCTTGAAACATAACTAACCTTTTTTTTTGGTAAGTGTGCATTAGAAAAGAGAGAATGTACAAGGGCCTATAAATCGGCTATCCTACCTCAGGACAAGCCTTGAGTTAGGATTAAAAGAATCAATTAATTCAAAAAAGAGTAAAGGAAACAAAGCTAGAGAAGACTAAACTCTCCTCTTTTTACCGTAGGAGATGTCCTGTGTTAGGAACAAAAAAGACATGCCTATACAAAACCAAAAAGACCAAACGAAGACAATCTCCTCTTCCTACCTTAGGACATGCCCTGAGTTAGGAACAAATTATAACTAACTTTGTAAGCTTCAATTCTTCAATATCTATAAAGTGATTAGGAACCCGAACCAGTTCAACCATGACTCGTAGCCTTCACCAGGTTGGGTTACAAAATTTTCTATTAATTCAAAACCCTAAAAATTAGGACATCAATCCATGAACAATTTGTAACGCCCCGCTTAAGGTACGTAATTAAGATTTGCTGTATTACTTAAAAGTTCATTGATTCAGTTTCAATTGAGTTTGTATGTTGTATTGGTTAAGTGTTTGCCTTGGTTTTGGTTGAGATTTGGTGAATTTTGGAAATCCAATCTTCGCCGCGGCGATGAGGTGTTGCACCTACGGGTAGGTTCTGCCGTGTTTCGCCGGGGCGACGGAATGTTCTTCGCCGCGGCGAAGAGCCTAACAAAAAGTTTCTTGAGTTTTCTAGAGAATTTCTTCCTTTGGGGCATAATGACCATTCTTTTGTGTATTTGTTATTTACTGCACGGCCACCATGTTCTCCTTATCATGTTATTACTTCTCATGAGAACATACTTTTGCAGCTCACTATGAGAAAACAGCCATTCCAAATTTAGCTTTTGAAAAAAAATCAATAATGGACTTCTTCAGCATAAATTTTTGACTAAAAAAATTAACTCAAATTCCAAATCATCCATTCATTTCAATTCCAAATCGTCCATTAAAATTGAAAGACAATTATTGTTGATGCCAACTCACAACTCTAGACCTTTGGAATGAAATAGATGGATGGTTCAAAATTTGAGTTATTTAAGCCAAAAAATTCAAATTACAGCATCCCAACTCATTATGTGTGTGTACTCTTATATAACTCATTGAACAGAATTTTAAAAGAAAATCTCGTCAAAACATGAAAATCACAAAATTTTAACACTATAATTGAATTTATATACACAGCAAAATCCCTATTTCTTGAGGCCTGTTTTCATTTGGCAGGTTCCTTAAGTGGTTACCTATTTCAGGGAGTTCTTATGTTTCAGGATGTAACTTAACAGGTCTAAAGAGTAAGCCGCCTACTACCAGTAACCTTGTAAACTTGTAATGAGAAACTGATAGATAATCTTCAACATCAAGATTTCTAGACCCTATTGGCTTTCAATGGTTGAAGCACCTTTCATTGGTTTTCTTTCTTTCTTTGACCTTGTCAAGAAAAAATATTTCAAATATTCATATCAAGACAGGTAGACCAAAGTAACCAAGATAATGACTTGGTACTTTCTTCTCTCTCTACTCTTTGTTCACTTTCTCTCTAAAGAAAATCTCTCTCAATTATAACCCCAAACTAGCAGAAAGCCCATTAAATACCCAGTTCCTGCCAAAAGAGTAACTATTGGAAACTGACCAAAATAATTGATGTCACCCCAAGCAAAAGATGAAACAGAATGAGAGGGATCCCATTCTGCTTTCCTTGCCGGTTTGATGGATTTTATAAATTTTGAGTACAATAGGTAGAGAACAATAGCCCTGATGGTGACATCATAGTAGTATTTCACCTCAAATATTTTTATGCATAGTTATACAGATGGAGAGCATCATATATTGTATCTTGCAAGGTTAGTGATTGGTTGATTATTCTTCATTTTAACTTTTTACCCTCTCTTAATGGGTCATTAAATAATAGCACTAGAATTCTGATAGTCAATTCTAAGATATAACCAACCCACAAGTTGTTTAACATCTCAAACTCCACCACACCAAGGACACTAAGTCTGCTGTTCTCTAAATGCAAAATATGAGGAGAGTAGTTCAGCATAGGGGTATGGTAGCATTAAGAATTACCGAGCACACGATTTAGCCAACTATTATATCAGAAGTTTGCAGTGAACTTTTATTCCTAAATATAACTTTAGACAATAAAAAAAGTTCTAAAATCACTGACCTGTAAGATCTTCAAATCTATTTTAGAGCTAGCAGAATGCTGGAGCTTGGCTTCATTTTTCATTTTTATTAGCTCATCCTGGGTTTTCTGAAAATTGGATAATTTTTCATCTGACAGGGTACGCTCCTTTTCAACTTCTTCTTCTAAGGAAGCAACTCTTGAATGCAAAGTTTTCATCTCTGCTTCAACATCTCTAAGTCGTGACTCTGCCACTTCTTTTCTTGCTTTTGCAGCTTTCATTTCTTCCTCCAAAGCTTGCTTTGATTTGTTTGCAAGAGCTAAATGAGTTTTCATCTCTGCTTCAACAACTCTGAGTTGAGACTCTGACATTTCTTTTGCTGCATTTGCAGCCATTATTTCTACTTCCATGGCTTGCTTTGATTTGTTTGCAAGAGCTAATTGAGTTTGCAGCTCCACCAGCCTTACCTCACCCTCCCTCAGTTGATTTTTATTTCTCTCAAACTGCTTCTCGGATTCAGTCAAAGCCATCTCTAATTCCATTTTTTCTGCTTCCATCTTTTCCAACTTTTCTTCAAGCTCAGCAGTCTGGTGAATCATGGCTTCAAGTTCAGCTTTTAGTGAGCTCTCACCAGCACTGAGTTGTTTTGATACTGGTTCGGCATCCAGGCAAATATTTCTACTTTCAGTATCAGGCAAAGCTGCTAGCCTTTCCATTTCCAGAAAATCATCCATGAGATTAATTTGCATAGACGGGACCATGAATTTTCTGCTCAGCGCCTTCTCATTCTTAAATTTATCAATTGCTGGGATTAAAGCAGATGCCCATGAGTCAGTATGGCTTGTCCCACATTCATTTGTCTCCAAGCCACTCATCTTATGTGTATCGGTTTCAACTGCTAGTAGCCTGTCCCCACTGTCTGACTGACTATCTATGATAGATTCAACACCAACTGAGGAGGCAGTGAAAGACTTTTGATCACTCATAGTGATTGCTTTATGAGCCACAGCTTTTAACCTTCGGCATTCAGCTTCAACCTTAGCTAACTTCTTAATGCTCTCCAAATGTTGCTTGCTGGCTGTTTCAGCTGCTTTGGTGCTTAGATCTCTCTCAATAATCCTAAGTTCTAGCTCTTCAACACGAGAAAGGAGCTCAAGTTTAAGAGATGAATTCTCTTTCTCTATAGCCTCAAGCTTCGAGAAAAGATCAATATCAACTGAGACGACAGCCTCACCTTTGGCATTTTCAAGTTGTTTCTGTAGATCAAAGAGCTGTTTCTGAAGATCAGACTTTTCTGATTCCCACTTGCGAGTTTTCTCGGCAACAGCTTCTTGGATCCTCTGCTGTTGTTCATCTCTTGCTTGCCTGAGCTGTCTAACACATTCCTTGAGTGCTCCATCAAGATGAGCAGCTCGATCTTCAAGTGCTGAATTCTTCTGAGCAGCAGCCTCAAGTTGTTGCTTTAAACTCGACACTTCCCTTTGAGCCTTCTCCCACCCTAGCATTTGAAAACACAAGCAAGAAACTGCTAATTACCCACTCATTAGAGCAAGTTTCATCCTCATTTCTGACTAGAGGAAGATTATGCACAAAAGATATAAATCTATAAACAAAAAGAAGAATTGGAAATCATCCAAAACATCTTTCTTCTTCTTCTTTTTCAATTACACGAAATGTCATTCTATAAGACTTCGTATTCAACATAAGGTCATAATCATAAGAATTTGAAATTAAATAGCTTGAAAATGGAAGACCTGAAACAGCTTCTTCTGCAACTTTGGCATGTTGGTTTACCAAGTCTTCCTTGGCACTAATGTTCAGAAGAGCAGCAGAGAGTTTGTCAGTCAGACTCCTCACATTATCAGTCACTTCTTCATCCGCAGGCAAACCTTTCGATGTGACTTCTGGAGAGTGAGAAATATGAGTTGGAAAAGCCTGTATCCACAAACCGACCACCATTAGTAATGGTAATTAAATAAAAGAATCCAGCATAATTTAATCTCTTTTAAATTACCTGATCATCAGAGAATCTTTCAGAAAGGGACGAAATGGAGCCAGAACTCTCTGTTTCACCGGGACTTTTCTCCGAAGACTTTCGTCGCCAAAGCCAACTACGGCGGTCCATCTAGTCAAAATTTCACGGTGACACTGAGAGAGAGCATTCATCAAAGTTAAACTTAACCCAATTCCATTTCCTCAGTCTTGGCTTTCAATTTACTTCCTATCCCAACCAATTCTTCTGATGTTTATTCAAAACATGGTTTTGTAGAAAATAATCAACATCAACACACCACCTAACAAATCCCCCAAAATTCACGCCATACGAATAACTCCACATAAGACAAACACCGCATCCCCATTCTCTAACTAATTCTTTCAGAATGTCTTCTCCACTCAAAACGCGTGTCATATATAAAAAGCCTATTTTAATTTAGAGTAAACGACTTTTACCCACCCAAGGTTTGGTCTAATGACCCTTTCCCACCCGTCAAGTTTCCTAATGACATTTTCCCACCCACCGTCACAATTTTTCCATTAGTTTTAACTGCAGAAGGATAGAATAGTAAATTCAGTTTTTTTTGTTCTCTTCTTTTAAATATTAAAATATTTTTAAAATTTTGAAAAAAAAAAAAAGAGCAATCGGCCAACTGGTGTTGGCGATTATCAAAAGTCAAAACCGTCAACGGCCACCAGTCTATCTCATCATGGTTCTCAAATATGTTGGCTCAACTTAATCGAGGAAAACTTCATTGCCCTCTTCTACCTATCGTCTTGTTTGGGAGTTCGCTCGCAAGAACTGGTGACCTGACGCACCAAGGGGGATCTTTCAATCACTCTGTTCGATCCAAGGTGCAAATAGCTCCTTTTCTTCTCTCTCGGCAATAGGGATAATAGGCATCTTCTTTTCTTCTTGATGCTTTTCCCTTGTTTCTTGCTTTCGAGCCGTAGTTTAATACTTCATTTCGGTTTTCTTTTTGATCATTTACTGGTATTAAACTTTTTTATTGTGTTGCTGCTCAGCGAGACGACACATACACAGAAGGTTTAAGCTCAGCCTCAGGGGTGATGAATCAATCACACAAATGTTCACTCGCTTCACCGATATCATCAATGCCTTGAAATCTCTTGGCAAATCTGACTCCAACAGTGAGCTAGTGAGGAAGATTCTAAGATCTCTTCCTAGATCAGGGGAAGCTAAGGTCACGACCATTCAAGAAGCCAAAGACCTCGCAAGACTACCTCTAGAAGAACTCTTGGGTTCTCTAATGACCCATGAGCTTACCAGGAAGAATGGAGAAGAAGAGGATGATACAAGAACAGGGGCTCTCAAAGCTTCTACAAAAGATGAGAGTGATGATGAGGAAGAAGAGAGCGAAGATGATGAAGAATTTGCTATGATTACAAGTTCAAGAGGTTCGTTCCTAGCCAAGAAGAAAGATTTTTGCAAAAGGCCTCAAAGAGGGGTCCCACCAAAGGAGAACCCCGGCAAGAAGAAAATAGAAACTTGTGAAAACCACAAAACAAAAGAAAAATAAAAAAGAAGCAAGAGACTTGTGAATGCATCTAAAGTTAAATTAACAGATTTTCCATCTTTATGAACAACAAGATTATCATTTCCAAACAAATGCATATAGCCTTCATCAAAGGGTACAAAAGGGAGGCTTTTGTGAAACCTATAAGCCAAAACAAGAAAAAGGGAGAAGACAAAGAGAGAAGAACCCATTCGAGAAATTGAGGAGACAACCATCCTGTACTATCTGAGACAAAGAGATAACCATTTGAGAAGTTGAAGACAAAGAGAGAAGGAAAATAGGAAAATAAGGAATACAGAAAGAGAAAAAGAATGCAGTCGACGATAAAAGGAGAGAGAGGGAAGGGAAGAAGAAAAGAAAAGAAAGAGGGAAGAGACAAGAAGAAGAGGGTAAATGACATAATTATCCTTTGACTATTTTTTTTTGAAATTATCATTATGTCCTTCTGCAGTTAAAATTAACGGACAAATTGTAACAGTGGATGGGAAAATGTCATTATAAAACTTGGTGGGTGGGAAAGGTAATTAGTCGAAAACTTGGGTAGGAAAAAGTAGTTTACTCTTTAATTTAACACTATTATCACTTTGATTTCCAAAGCCACCTTAATCAAACGACACCAACATTTTCTAAAAACTTACGGTGATAACGTTTTCAAATTAAATTTTTAACTTAATTCAGTCAAAAACTAGAGTGAATATATTGACATCCCATAAATGAATTAAGGAAGATTCACTTTTTAAGGGTCTGATTATTGTAATACAAATTTGTGGCTTACAACAACTTGCTTAGTTGACATTAAAAATTAACCAACTCTAACTTGTTATTCAAATTCGTTGGATTACGCTGAATCATGGTTATGAATTTGTTTTATAATAANTATATTAAACATATAGTTCTTTTAGGTCAGTATGAAACATATAAGGTGTAGAATGTCTACGATTCTTCTTTGTTCAGAACATAAAAGGTGTGTTTGTTTGAATATTCCTATAAATATTATAAATCCTATTCCCATAATATTTCTTTGTTTAATTATTTAGGAAATATTAGTATTTTTTTAATAAATTTTAGACCCATTAACTGAATTAATTTCATTAATACCGCCTGAAAATTTTAAAAAGTAACAAAAACACCCCCACCCACCCAACTTCCCAGATTCTGGCACCACCGACGGCTACAAACAACCGAAAATGGTCGGTAATTTATAGATGTGACATTTTTCGGCTAGCTCCACTGTGGATCTGGTCGGAAAAGGCCACATTTGGCCGTCATCAACTTTCAAAGAAATGGCCGACGTTGACGGTCAACGACGGCCAAATCTTGGGCATCGTTGACAGAAAACGACGGCCACATATTTGGCCGTCGCAGACGGCCAGATGTCGACTTTTTAGTCTTTCGAAGGCCAGATCTGGCCATGATCTGGCCTTTTCCGGCCACATCTGTGATCGATGTAGCCGGAAAATGCAATATCGACGCCCTATCAGCCTGATCCAACCTCCATGGTCATAACGCCCTTTCCCAGTAGGATTCTGGCGGTGGTGTTGGAATCGGGGAAGTTGGCTAGGTGGGGGAAGTTGTCCGGAATCGTAGATATTGCTTAAGCGATTCTTTTCTTTTTCACTTGGTCGATTAAGCGATCGTGGATCGCTTAAGCGATCATGTGATTGGCAGAAACAAATCTGCCCAGGTGCATGATTGCTTAAGCGATCCGACATATCGCTTAAGCAATCGTTGTCTTTTTGTCTTGGTCGATTAAGCGATCCCAGGTGCATGATCGCTTAAGCGATCCGTGATATCGCTTAAACGATCCTGTTTGAAAAACCCTTTGTCGCTTAAGCGATATACTTAGTCGCTTAAGCAATCATGGGCAATATATACTTTTCCAGCTTTTCTCCTGAATTTTGACAAACTAAAATTACCAACACGTATTAATTCCATACTTTCTCCTCAATTTGACAACCTAATTCCAAACTAAAATCACCAACAAATATTTAGGCCATGTAATAAGAAATATAAAGAATGATTTATTAAAGGTAACAATAAAATTTATAATCANTTTGTAAGAATTTCTTTTAGCTCTAATTTCTTTTATGAATTTTCAATTTAATTGTTAAAAATTTTAATTTAAGAATAAGGATGATGGGGTTATATTGCATAAGTGAAAAGAATGAAATGTTCTCTTTTAAAATATATTAAAAAACATTGGAATGAAGGGTATTTATGGGATATGCCGTAAGAATAAAACTATGAAATGAGGTGTCTTTAAGAAATATGACTTGTTTAGTCTATTAGTAAACTATGGTTTACCTTTATTTGATTATAAAATCATAAGGATGTAAAATGTAAATATCTCGCACGCAACCCGGTTTCTCTGGGTTAGAGTTGGGTGTATTTAAAAAGTAAAGCTCCGGCAACGCTATTCAAAAATGGGGCTTGCATCTTTTAAATAACATATCATTATTCTCCGTTGGAGAGAAAGAAATACTCCACTCTTCAACGGCTGAGCGCCCCATCAATTTTCTGGTTTTTGTGTAATAGTTTTTCCAGTCACCGCATACCTCGCTAAGAAAGCTTTCCTTGGGTTCTGTAAATCAATACATTATGCTGATGCCTTCTGTGAGTATGCTTGAAGTATTTGTCCTCTTAATAATGTTATTCTTTTACTTGGGGTTAACATCCAATATTATGTCTTGATTCATTGCAAGCTTTATTTACATCCATGGATCAGTACCTTCAGGGTTTGTTTGTTCTTGCTAATGACCCTGCTACAGAAGTCCGAAATTTGGTGAATGCATTCTCTTTTTGTTGTTACTAGACTTTTTCTATTTGTGGCTTCCAGTATAGAACTGAAACAGATTCTTCTCTAGACATGTTGACAATAATCTCTATTTACTTTAGTAATCCGTTTTTGGTTTAAACTGTTTCTGGCCATGAAGTCTTAGCTACCTTTACAGCCATAAGTTTTGTAATTCCATTTCTCTCTGGTTCTCCTTCTACTTCGTGAGAAAACAATGTGGAGTGGAAGTTTGAGTGGAATGATCAAATACATTGCAAAAAGGGATATAAATTCAAGGGAATTATGGAGAAGATGGATGTCCAGTGAGCCGAAAAAGAGATTTGCCGCTTTGTGGGGGAATGGAGATTACGGAATATTAGGTTTAGGGAGCTTGGAGTCTCAGTGGAGGCCTGTCCCTGTCGTTTGATCTGCCTTTGAGAATCAGAGCGTTAAAGCCAGTGCTTGTGGTGGCGCCCATACCCTCTTCTTAACTGGTATTCTCTTTCTAACTTCAATTACTTAATATTTATCACTTTTCAGCTCATAAATTAATAATCCTCCTCGTCACACAGATAATGGCAGCGTTTATGCTACTGGTCTTAATTATTCCGGACAGCTCGGCATATCAGAAAATATAAGTTATTCTTTGGTATGATATTTTTAACCCTTTTTTTTTTTTTTTTTTTCCATGAATTGAGAGTGTTCGATGTTATATGCCGAGCTGAACCTCAACTTAATGTTATATGTTTCTATGTCTGCTGTCATTTTATGTATTTTTCTGTCGAGAATGTTCTACTTACTGCAGCATTAGTTTTCTAGACAGTGAAGAAATGACATTCTCAAACTGATACTATATGGTACTGAATACGAAGCGGCAAAAGTAGTCCCTGTTCCGACGGAAATAGAGTGCTTGATTGGAATCTGCATAAAAACTTGCAGCTTTGGGTTCTGAGCACTCAATTGTTGTTACTGGTTGGAACTGAAAAGGCAGATTCTATGTTTGCTGCTTCCACAAGAAGACGTATATACTCAGCAGTATTATTTGAAAGTAATAAAACATAT